TACGGCTGATTTGTAATTTATCCGTTCTTCTTATAATCGTTGTTTACAATAAATTGCAAAAATAATGCCCAAAATTCCAAATGCACGCAGTCAAAAGTGATGTGAAATTTACAAGAAATCTCGTGAATACAAAATTACTCGTGTTAAACAAATAACTCTGAAATGTCGCCTTCCCCCCCTAAACACGTGATAAGTCAATGCGGCCATCTACTTCCGGCTGGTCGAAATTGACCAGCCGGAAGTATGTCTGCTTGCCAGATGTTACAAGTCTCTCTTCTCTTTCCTCCTCTCCCCCTCAGCGGTACGTCGTGTAACGTACAATATAGATGTACAATATATAGATGTCCACAAAGAGAGACTTGGAGCAAGTCTAGGTGCATCGCAGTCACTCTTCTGATAAAAGGCCTTCTCTCAAAGTGTCGATAAGTATTTACTGGTATACTACTCTTAACAACTGAGTTGTTGACGTCTCTGATTTTCTCAAACAAACAGCCCCTCTCTATCAGAAAAATTAGGAGGAAATGTCACCCTATTCTCTCATCATCCCCGCTTGGTTGTCCCAACAGTTTAATGAAGTAAGATATGTTAAAATTCGTGGCACCTCTTCTTAGTCATTGTTCGTCCACACTTTGGATACGCAACGCAGATTTGGTCCTCACAATCAATGTATTGAGCTCATCATGCGAGCCAAGAGAGTCCAACGACGTATGTTTAATCTGCCATTCCAGACTAATATACATACCTTCTAAGGAACGTTTAATTTCCCTCCGTGTACTGTACATCCTCTTTCATACTGGGACGAATCCTTGAGCTGGTACTTAATTCTCTACAAGATCGTTCACATCCTTATAGAGATCGATCCAGACCTCAAGCGAACTCATATTTTAGCTAGACGAACTCGTGTCACTTCTAAACTCAACTTACTATATGCAGTACGTTTAATCGAAGAGATTCAAAACTGGAACTTTCCCACGCTCATTTTTCCAATAACCATTCAGAATTTCAATTTGGAATAAGCTACCGGAGAACACGCGCCATATAAATACAATGTTTGCACGCTTTGGAGCTATGCTGCTGCAGTACTATCATAATACAGCTTCAGTGACATACTTCACGACACAATATCTTGTTGCAGTTAACATTTTTATTTATTGGGAAGTAGTTGGCTGTATATGTTGTTGCAGCCTCTCGGCCACACAGTGATTATGCTTTTTAAATTTATTGTGGCTTGTAATGTTGGAAAAATTGAATAAACAAAAGCACCTTACTTTTAGATTATGGTTTTATGGTCTCAACAAGGCAGCTTATCTTAGGCCTTTCCTAGAACTGTTTTAAAACATATTGTTATATTTCAGATTGAGGGAGCTGGAATCAAGTTTCCAGAAAACAAAGCAGCGGGAGTTTCTCTCCGTAGTTCCCGAGTAAGTTATATGTACATATAAGTAATTACTTAAATTAAGTAAAAAACAGAAATTATACTTTTTAATTTAGCTACATTACAGCAACCTTGTTTTCAGAAGGCTCCATGAATGATGTTAATTACACCGTATATTAAATTTAGTTAATTACACCGTATATTAAATGACATTCTAGCTCAAAATGCCAAATTCAGTTGGTACGAAGAAGTCGAAAGCTGTCGAAATGTTATTGGAAGAACTTAGAGTTGGTTTGTATATCATATATATTTTTTTTAATTCCGTGTTGAGCCACCTTAACAACAATTGCTTTGTTTTTGTGTAGAACTGGTTCCTATGCCAACAGAGGAAATATGCAAGAAATTCAACGAATTAAGGTAAAAATATTTTCTTTAACTTCTCTAACGGAATGACAAACAGGGGCCAGTTGTTCAAAGCTGGGTTAGCTTAACCCCTGGGTTAACCTAAAATTCAAAGCAAAGTTCCTGACAGCTTGTCTATAAATTTTGGAAATATTTCTTCAGAGATCTTGTCTGGATCGATAGGAGTTTTCTTCTCTGAAGTTTTGAAATGGAACAGACGTGCAGAAATACATAAACTAAAACAGCAAGTTAAATTTTAACCAAGGGTTGACGCTAACCCACCTTAAACAACCTGCCCCTGACCTTTTAATGTGTAACAAGGTATGAGCAATTTACTAAAATGATGTATTTTTGCTTAATTTAGAAATGACATCATTCTTCTTTATGATCTGAAGCAAGCGTCTACAAATTGTGAATTTGAATTACAATCTTTAAGGTACGTTCGGACTAACCTGAAGTTCAGGCCCTAATTTCAAATAGGGCCTGACACAAAACCTGTCTAGACCGTGGGACGCCCACATGTTATTTTTAGACACACGTGCAATATGATTGACAAGTGTTGTAGATTTCGTTACACAAAAAATTTATATTCTCATGAACATGTCCGCAGAGAATTTTGCTTTTTAATTAAACTTAAAAATTCAAGGTACTTTTATATAATTAAGAGTCAGTTTCTCTATTTAACCGAACAGGCGAACAGCAAACAAAGATTTAATTAGTCAGTTCTGTGCACGGCTTGACTGCCAAGCTTTCTCAAGGTCTCAACTTGCATGCTGGACGCGGATATACTCTAACGACTAACGGGCTAATAACAGCAACAATTAAATTCTCAATCATACCACGAAGAAGGCGATGTAGCTCAGAAAACAATTATGCCGGTAGGACCTGATATTAAAAATAAGACTTTTGCCGGCGAAGCAAGTTGGCAGAACATCTTGGCTGTCAACAACAAGCTTTCGAATACAGGACTAGTTTGGCTGTTCTTTCAGTGTCGTGTGTGTCCAAAATTCGTCAAAGATTTTGATGAAGCCCTTTCAAAATACTGTTTGTTTGATTTATTTTCTTCCATAAAGCATAAAAGAAAAGAAATTCGAAGAAATCGATAATGGAATTTGTTACGTGCGTTTGACCTTTATATTAATTTTCGCCTTGACCGAGCTATTTTTAAAACTGTTGTTTATGTGAACTTGCAACCAATCAAAATCCTTCATGATGCTGATCAACCAATCAGATTTCCCGTCCACCAGGTGGACGGGAATCCCACACTTTAGATAGGTTTTGTGTCAGGCCCTATTCTGTGATAGGGCCTGAACTTCAGGTTACGTTCGGACATACTGTCATTACTCTGTATGTAATTTATGGTAATTTCGTGCCAATATTGCTTCTCATTCATACCTTTAATCAGTGTTATTTGGTCCCTTAAAAATAAATCACATTTTGATTAATAGTAGTAGTATATCATGTTTCAACAGTATATTGCTTATTTTTAGACACAGATATGAGACACTCGTGCCTGGCAAAGATATAGCAGAAACAGGTATGTATAATAACTTCATATTTTAATATAAAGTTAAAACTTTGGTTTGTCATATGCTTAACATAATGAGATCATCATTATCATCGTCATCATTATCATCATTATGATGCGTCTTTTGCGGGTCGATAAGGAATCAATGGATGTGTCAAAATCGAGTAAGATTGTCACACCAGAAATCATCTCATGCGCATCTTAAGAAGACTAAACTAATACAACGCCACTTGGACTTGCATGTATCGTGCCGAAAAGTGGCGTTGTATTAGTTTAGTTCCTGAACACTAGGATAGAACTAACGACTTTGCACACAAAAGGAAACCCTATACGGTTCATTACGATACGGTTGAAGTAGAAAGCCAAAGTTATATCCAAGTGGGATTTTAACCTTGACCTGTAATAAGGAAATCTATTGGCTCTCTCCATGCACCCATCGCAAAATAAACTCGCAAGCTCGAGTTCAGGAGTTGACTCTTGTGATGAATGGAAAAGAGGCTTAAGGTGGCTCCCTACAGTTATTCTTGTTTAAGCAATAATTCCGTAAAACAGGCTTATTTGTGCAGAACGCGAATTCTTTTCGACTTGGTGGCAATATTGGTCACCTAAGGAATATTTCGAACTAGATTTCGACGATGTCAATGTTCCCATGGCAACATGACGACAGCATAAAGCCTTCCAATTTAACCCATAAATGTGCCGCTATCTCAAAAACGATGTCGGTGACCTATCTTTTTTTATTTCATATATCAATAGGGAATGATGCTCTGCAACTGTGGTGAAAGTTTAAAAAAATTCTGTAGTGTGTGATTTTTTTAAAAGCGAAAAATTTATTGCGAAATTTCCACACTACAGATTTTTTTAAAATTTGAAATTTATAAAATTTACCGCAAAATAAATTCGTGGTCAAAATTTGAAGATAGGTCACCGATGAAACTAATGAGTAAAATGCAAATAAAGTTAGAAAATAGCCTCGTGTAACTCGAGAAATTCCCCTTATTGAAAAGCGTCGCTGACTAGTAAAAGATTGTACGCGGGCGCAGAACGAGTTTTCATTCAGCAAAATCGAGCCGCAATGTTGTTTTTACTGTTTTGTTTTTGTCAACTTTTCGATTTATTTGAGTGCTATGGACAGCCAAGGATTATTGTGAAGGATTAAATCGATGAAAACAAGGTTGAAGCTAATTGAATCCTGCAGTTTACTCAATCTATGAGCTGTAACAGCCTATTAACAGGTGGACGTGTTTTTTTGTTTCATGTTTGGTTTTGTAATTTTTGCTAAAAATGAACAATTAGGCTATGAAACTGAAATATTTTTCTGTTTACATATAATCACTTTAATCTTGTAGAAACACGACTAAAAACGTGAACGTTTTCTTGAGAAGTAAACAACTTTTTAAACGTTTCTATGCAATTTTGCAAATGTTTTACAGTTGAGTCAGTTGACAGTGTATAAAAAAATTAAAAAATATTGTTTCGAAGCTATTTTTTGGTCTAGTGATATTCGTATTATTTAAGTGATTTGCCACTCAAAACAAAGTATTATTCAACGCTTTTTTCCATTAGAAATCTTTCAGAAATAGCTTTATTTTTAAAAAAAAGCATGGTCAATTTTTGTTTTGTTTTGATCATGCAGTTGCGTGGGATAGTTCCCGTACTTGTCCCGCGAACATCCCGCACGGAACTGTACTGTAGGGAGCCTCCTTAAGGGCAAATGATTAATTTTGTATGTATTGGACTTCTTTCTTTTTTTCGCTTTAGTTCCATCTTCTATCGCAGCTTTGAGTGGAGTGAGTATATCTTTATTTTATGCATGGAAACCAGGATAGTGCTTTACACTTGGATTTACAGATTTAAATTTGACAAGGGCAGCAAAATATTGCATATTTTACCACAATAGACTGGTCTTAAATGCATGCAGTACAAAGTACGCACGCATGCCTCCAACAGACTACAACATCTATACATGCATCCAACTGGCCAAAACCTAACCCTGATCCTAACGTCTGGCTGGACACAATAATAAGCATACATAGATTCAGGTTGTCCTACGACCGTTTGAAGAATTGAAGTACCTCATAAATTCGTGTAGTCTGAACCGCGGGCTTTGCCAAAATTCACAGCCACAGGTGCTTTAAAAGTATAGCTACCACTAACCCTGACCCTGACTCTGACCCTGACCTTCGAAAGAAAACGACGACTGGGACCCAGGCAATTATGCGCTGTTCTCGCGTCGTCATGATAATGCCTTTTGAGTAAAAGCTATATGTCTAGGCTGGTATAGCCTATAGGGAATGTTAAGTGGGCGATATTTAGTAAACAAGTTAGTAAACAATATTTTAAAAACCTAACTTAAAACGTGTACTGTATTCTCAATCTATAGATAACTCCATCAACCACGGGCAGTGCAACGCCACTGATTGACAACGTGATTGCTCCTTTAGCAGCCGCAAATGCCGTAAGTTTTCGTTTTCTTATTTCCAGTAATTTCCTGAAGGTAATGCGTTTTCTTAAATCTTCGCGAACTGCGAGCCAATAATTTGAGAATGTGTATAAAGCCATTTAAAGGTGAAGCCATACAGTAAGTACGACAAAATCGTGGCTACAACCTGTCTAATCACTTTACGGTTGGGTAAATCTCTTCAACCTTGTTCTGTTTAATGCTGCACGTGGTCCTCGCCGTGTGCAGAGGTACAACGCCGAAGTGAAGGAGTGTAATGGCACAATCTGCAGACATGCATGTTTCGGCGTCCTATAAACTTGCCCCAAGTCTCTCTCGTATGGGTTTTGATAGGGTATATCCAGTTTATTATGAGATCAGTTTTGAACTCTCCGTTTCAAGTTCAAAACTGATCTCATAATAAACTGGATATACCCTATCAAAACCCATTCGAGGCGTCCTACGCCTCATCAGTGCAGCTTGGTACACATCTAAACACCGGTTCATGCATGAACTGGGCCTACAGTTGCATTTTTCGCAGCTGAGTGCTTCTCGTTAGATCTAAAACATGTACAATAATTAGACCACTGATTTACACTTGAACTTTCCAACTACAAAACCAGCTCGTCCATTATGTTTGCCAAGTGGCCAACCTCGCTAGGACTTTGAGTCCTTTCGTTAGCCCTCTCATCATGCAAGTTACTCAAATTGTTTGTGATCACTTTCACTCTGTATTATTCATATGGGCTAATATGTTGTTAATAATTAACTTCATGAAATTTTCTAAATAAATAAATATGCAACAGAAGCTAATTTGAATTGTTACTTGCGACTATTTGAATTGTTACTTGCACGCATAAGTGTAGGATGCCCATTAGCAATACGTCATGTAACATTAGTTAAATAGGAACTATTGCATCATGCAGTTGTGACAGTTACCATAGTAACGAGAAAGGACAGACAAACAGATTTCCAAGATGGCGATTAGTCAACCACGTTGTTATTAATGTTCACATTGTTTTACGAAATAAATTGTGCTTTCTACTGTTTTAATACGTGAATTATGGGATAGATCGAGAATTTAGTGAGCGGGCAACAAATTGGAGGTCCCACCCAGACTTTTATACATAAAAGAAGCTGTGAATGCGAAGGAAAAAGTATGATTTTTACGCTTTTCTAAATTCTTGATTTTCGTATTTTGATCTTTGCTTTTGGTGATTTGCTGGCGATTATGGCTGAAGAACTACAAGTAGAGATGCAAACAACGGTTTGCCAAGCACCCGAAGAAACGCTCCAGGCTATGGCAAAGGATTTTAAACTTGATATTTCCGAACAAAGGAAAAGTACAATTGTTTGCATGATTTTTAACCATATTGATAAAGAATTGATGGACAAAAACGAGGAACAACGAATGTTATTCTTGACAGAATTTCGCTCACGTTACTTTAAGAGCACAGAACCAAAAGAAAAAGATGTTTCAGAATCAGTACCCCCTGTAAAACAAAACGCAGGACAAAGTCAAAGCACATTACAAGGTATGTTAGAATCTACAAGTGTATTTCGTCGACAATTTAAGATTGTGGGACAAATTGGACAGCCAAATGAGAAAGACAAGTTGAGTTTCACATCCCTGACAAGACAAATAGACACTGGGGTTAAACAGGGGTACACAGAACAGGAAATTGTGGACGGTGTTATTCGTGCAATTAATGGTGGAATGGTTCTTCGAAGTTATGTAGAAACTTACAAGGATCTATCTCTAGAGCGGTTACGAAAAATTCTTCGAAACCATTATGATGTAAAAAGTGCAACTGAGCTATATCAAAGTCTTGCATCAATATGTCAAGGGTCAAAGGAAACACCACAAGAATTCCTTATGCGTGCCTTGGATTTACGCCAGAAAATCCTGTTTTCAAGCACTCAAGATCAAAGTGAGGACACTTTGGTTTATGAAAATGATCATATTCAAAAGCTGTTTCTACGTACTGTTGAAACTGGCCTTCAAGATGAAAATGTTAGAGTAAGGGTTAGGGGGTACCTCAGAAACCCCACAATATCAGATGAGGAGCTTATTTTGCAAGTGAATAATGCAGTGTCGACAGAGAATGAACGGGTAAGAAAATTAAGAAACCAGAATCGCCCAAAGCCTGCCCAGGTTTCCCAGGTAGCAGAGAAAGCTGAGTCCCAAGATAAAATTCTAAAGACTCTGGAAGCACTGAAAGTTGAAGTGGCACAAGTTAAGAGTCAGTTGAAGGATATCAACCAAGAAACTGAACAAACTCGATTACCAAATTCGCCTGCGCCAGTAGACACTAGAAACCAGAGAAGAAATACGCCGCCAAAATGCTTGCAGTGCCAAACTAGTGGAAATGACAAATGCTCTCATTGTTTCATTTGTGGAAGTGACAATCATTTTGCAATTGGATGTCGACAGAATCGTGGAAAGAATACTTTAAACTCCAGGAGGCTGCCTCTCCGGGGCCAGAAGTAGCCGAAAGAAGTTTGCGGTCCCAAAGATGTAGTTATTGTGGCAAGGACGATGATCAAATGACATTGTACTGTTGTGCACAATGCAAATGTGTAGTTTATTGTTCAAGAAATTGCCAGAAAAGACACTGGAATGATCATAGGAACAATTGTAAAACTCTTCGGGACCTGACATGGACATGTCAAAACAAAACACGCAGCAATAATAAGACATTTACCAGTCACCTAACTCCTAGTGAGCATGCAAAGATTGCTAAGCTAGTAGGAAGACGGTGCACTGTAAAGTGTTCTCTAAATGAATTTGAGTCAACAGTATTATGGGATACGGGTGCACAAGTATCTATTGTGTCCAAAGAAATGATGGAAAAACACTTTCCTAAAAATGTTATAAAGAACATTTCAGAACTTATTAATGGTGAATTGGATTTAACAGCAGCTAATGGTACACGAATTGCGTATAGTGGTTGGACTGAGATAGAAGTTAGATTGATTTCATCAAAAGAAAAGGATCCATCGGTTATGGTTCCTTTCTTAGTAACAAACGACAGTTTAGAATATCCCATTCTTGGATACAATGTTATTGAAGAACTAATCAAGCCGATGAATACATCTGATATTCAGTCAGCACATATTGCTACAGTACAAGCTAGTTTTCAAGGTTTCGATGAGAAAGTGTTACTCGAATTGGTTAGACTGATACAGACAGCAAGAGCAAATGAACTATGCACGATTAAGAGCCCAAAGAAAGACTTTGTTATTCCGGCAAAGAAAACATTTAAAGTTAACTGTCGAGCGAATACTGGACCGGTAGAAGAAACTACACTTGTATTGTTTGAACCGGACGAATTAACGCCCTGGCCAGACGGTTTATCGGTGCACGAAACGGTAACAACAGTGAAACAAAGCTCAACGTCTCAAGTAAAGATTGATGTGACTAATGCAACTAATCATGACATTGTCGTGCGTAAACACACAGTATTAGGAAGTCTTCAGTTAATTAAATCGATTACACCTGTAGAAGTGAAGTTGGCAGAAAAGTCAAGCAAAGAAAAAGAACGAACAGTAACAGCCACACAATCCCAAGTGAATGCAATGGCGAAAGAAACTCGAGAACGAGACAATACAAATGATGACCAGTTTTTACCTGAAGTTGACCTTAGTGGATTAACAGAACGTCAACGTCAAGTGGTTACTAACATGTTGAAGGAAGAATGTCACTCTTTTGCAAGAAATGATGAGGATATCGGTTATATCAAAGATCTAGAACTAGAAATAAATTTGACAACAAACGAGCCAGTGCAAAAGAACTATGTATCGGTACCAAGACCTCTCTACCCCGAAGTAAAACAGTACATTGAAGATTTGTTAAATAACGTGTTTATAAGAGAGTCAAAATCAGCTTATTCATCCCCAGTAGTATGTATTCGCAAAAAGGATGGAACTCTGCGACTTTGTGTCGATTATAGAGAACTTAACCGTAAGACAGTGCCAGATAGGCATCCTATTCCGCGCGTCCAAGAACCTCTCGATAGTTTAGGTGGTAACGCTTGGTTTAGTGTATTGGATCAGGGTAAGGCGTATCATCAAGGATTTGTAAAACCATCCTGCCGACCGTTAACAGCATTTGTGACACCCTGGGGGTTATATGAATGGGTAAGAATTCCATTCGGTCTTATGAACGCCCCAGCAAGTTTTCAGAGATTCATGGAACAGTGTTTAGGAGAATTACGTGATGAAATTGCCATTCCTTATTTGGATGATGTGATCGTATTTAGTAGAACATTCGACGAACATGTCGACCACTTACGAACAGTTTTACGTCGCCTAAGAGAACACG